GCAGGCTGAGAGAAAAACTATCTTTCCCACACATCTTGGGAAAGTGGCAGAGGAAACAGGATCATGAAGAAATGTCTCAGAGAACCCCAAATTCTCCCCCATTAATCTAACCCCCTGCTTCAACCTCCACCTCTACCTTATTTCTTTGGAACAGTCACAGTGTTCACCATGTGATCAGGACAAGTCATTTGACTTCTTTTGCAAAAACAAATGAGTCCACTTGACCCCATCTCCCTCAGAGAAGTAAGCAATTGAATAGATTTCAATTCACTTGCACCATACAACACTATGTGCATGAAGTAAGTGAGGCTCCACGTTACAATGTTGCCCCCACCCAGATACTACAGAGAGACCCTCTAGTCTGGTTGTGATTGGATCCTAAGGACTCACTAACAAGTGGCAAATACCCTTGGGAGATGAAATACCTTATTTCCTATCTCATGTTGGAAGCAAACTGAACTGAGAGTACAGGGCACCAGCAAGGTGGTGGTGGAGAGGAAATTGTTCTATTTAACCTCTAAAGACTCTTCTGGCTGGTCTAAGAATTAGACATGAGGTAGATTAACAGCAGAAAATCAAGTGTAATTGAATTGGAGAGAATTAAGTGTAATTCTGCACATATGGGAGCACAACACACTTGACAGGTTCAAAGACAGAAAGGTAAAATGAGGTCTGTAGGCCCTCCTGGGCTAAGGAATGAGATAGGAGCCTGGGGCTGTCAGGGAGAGGAGGTCAAGTCACAGGGCAATAAGAAGAAGGGCAGATGTTTGGTAATTAGATGTTTGCCCTGCCATACGCATGAGTCAGTCAGATAACATTTAGCTCTGTCAATAACTCTTATTTGGGGAAAGATCCTCAATTTCGATTCTTCTAGGTAGTTAAGGGAAGTGCAAAATTTTCTCTTGAGCCCACAGGGTTTCAGCTGCCTTTAGCTTAAAATAGTCCACATGCCAAAGTGGCACACGTTGGGGAATCTTGTCCTGAATCATTTCGATTACATATTTCACAGGCAGGAGGACCTGAGTTTGGCAAATTACTTAGAATTTCTGGGCCCTGGTGCCCTCATCTGTAAAATGGGTTTGTTTATAAAATTAACTCCCATTTCTAAGGATTGTTCTGAGGGTATTTGAGACTAATGAAAGTAGATGCTCAGCTCTGTGCCCCTGGGTAGTAAATGCTCAATAATTTAAGGTTCCTATTATGATCATCATTATCATACCCAACTCCCAGTTGAAAAGTTTGGATCTGCGCTCAGGCCTGAATTGAAATAAATTTCTTGTCCCAAGATGGAGCCACTCCTGTCCAAGGCACCATATCAGCAAACCTAAACTTAAACTTTCATGTTCCTGCAAATGCTCTGCTTGACCAGAAACACAGTATAGCCAGTCAGCAATCCCCAGAGGCCAACCTAACTATGGGCTCTATACTTATTTCCTTGCTCTTTACTTGTTTTCTTTCGTTTCCTTGTTCCTCATTCTTTATCCTATAAAAGCTGCCTGCCTTCTGCCCCACTTTGCAGTTCTCTGGATCCTTGGGAATAAAGACTGCCTGTTTCATGAAGTGTTAAATAAAATTATTTTGTGTCACCAAATTGTCTTTAATCATTTTAAATCAGTTTTTGGTATGAGGAAGTCATTCAAAGCTGACTGCTAACAGCCTGTTGTATAACAAGACACCCAGATAAGGCACCCACTGAATACTTTGGGCTCATTTTTCCTTTCATGGTTGCTGAGGACCATGGGTGTGTGACTCTCAGATTTGAGTTCTGCTCCCTTGTATGCAACTCTCTGGTCCAAATAACACATGTACATGTAGATATTTTTCCCAGAAAATTTCCAGGATTCTGAAAAGGTTACAGTACAGTTATATTGACAGTCCACAATGAGTAGCAGCCATTAGAGAACTGACAAAGATTTGAGGTGAAGTCCACAGCATAAACTCTGGAGGACTTAGGTTAATAAAAAGAAATTCTGACTGCTTTGACTAATGGTGCATCAAATTCTAAGTAGCCACAAGTCATTAAAAGTCATTTGGGAAAAAAAAATCATTAGGGCATCTACCACTTTAAAGAAATCTTCTTGTGCATGGAATAAGAGATTTATTGCAGATGGGAATCTCCAAAGCCAAAGCTGCAAAATTGGTGGGCATGAGTCAAGCACCTTAGAGCTGTCAGAGTGCTTAGCCCCTAAGTCCAAGACTCCTGTGCTAAGCTAAGTTGGTCTTATGCCCATGTGACTGAGCACAAGAGAAACCCAAGACGCCCATTATTCAGTGAACTTCCCTGGTGGACAACACTTCAAATGTGTTGGGCTAAGGGAATGAAAACATCCTCTATGACTGGATTGGGGGAGTGAACCTTGTGCCTTCCTTGGAGGGAAGAATGGTTTCCTCCATTCTTCACATCCTATGCTTTTTCCCTTTTGATTTTAATCTGTGTCCATTTGCTGTAAAGTTAAGTATAACAACTTCTGAGTCCTATGAGTCCTTTTGTGAATTGAACCGGAGCATGGTCTTATGAACTCCAAACACAGGAAGTTTCCACTGTTCTCTCCAAATAGAAACCATAGTCCAGAGAGGTTAAATAGATTGGCAGAGGTAGCACAGATTGTAAGTGGAAAAGCTTACGTTTTAATTTGTCTATCTCCAGTGAACATGCTTTTAATAAATACTAGAGGACAAGTGAAGAATAATCTGATAATTGGCATTTCTTTATAAAACTCAACAATTGGGACATAAAATTCATAAAGCATAATATAAGAAAATTTCCTTACGAAAAAAAAATCTGTGGGGCACCTGGGTGGCTCAGTCAGTTGAGTGCCTTACTCTTGATTTTTTTTTTTAAGATTTCATTTATTCATGACAGACACAGAAAAAGAGAGAGAGAGAGAGAGAGAGAGGCAGAGACACAGGCAGAGGGAGAAGCAGGCTCCATGCAGGGAGCCTGACGTGGGACTCGATCCCGGGTCTCCAGGATCATACCCAGGGCTAAAGGCGGTGCCAAACCACTAGGCAATCAGGGCTGCTCTTACTCTTGATTTAGACTCAGGTTGTGATCTCAGAGTCATAGTAAGATTGAGCCCCACATCAGGCTCCACACTCAGCACAAAGTCAGCTTGTCCCTCTCCCTCTGTTCCTCCCCCTGCTCGTGCCCTCCCTCTTTCTGTCTCAAATAAATAAATAAAATCTTTTTTTTAGGGGCGCCTGGGTGGCTCAATCAGTTAAGTGTCTGCCTTCGGCTCAGGTCATCATCTCAGGGTCCCGGGATTGAGCCCCACATCAGGCTCCCTGCTCAGTGAGGAGCCAGCTTCTTCCTCTCCCACTCCCCCTACTTGTGCTCTTGTACTCTCTCTGTCAAATAAATAAAGTCTTTAATTAAAAAAAAAATTTAATCTGTAGATTTTTAGCACTCTATGTCCCATTTAAAAAAAGTGCAGAATGATACCAAAACAAACTTGTTAAGTTATTGGATCTCAAAGAGAAATAAAGAAGTCTTTAGGCATTCAGGTACAAAAAAAGGGAATCTCTAAGGGAAAAAAACCTTGTAGGCCACTTCTTAGCAACTTCTTTGGCAGAATTCATTGGAGCCAGGTCTGCCCAGGTCCTAGGTTCTGGGAAAAGAAAGTGTGACCCAGGATTTTTTACCTCATCAAACTGTCTTTCAAGTATTAAGACAATATACAAAAATTCTGGGAAAGTAATAACCTGCAAACTCTAATAGTTACTTCATGTGGTAGAAGTCCTCTGTTCAATATGGTAGTCCTAGCCACATGTGGCTCCTGAGCATGCAACATATGGCTGGTATGAATCATGATATGCCACAAATGTGAAATACACACCAGATTTCAAAGGCTTAGTACCAAAAAGTAAAATATTGCATTAAAAATTTTATTGCAGGGCAGCCCAGGTGGCTAAGTGGTTTAGTGCCTCCCTCTAGCCCAGGGCCTGATCCTGGAGTCCTGGGATCGAGTCCCACATCGGGCTCCCTGCATGGAGCCTGCTTCTCCCTCTGCCTGTGTCTCTGCCTTTCTCTCTCTCTATGTCTCTCATGAATAAATAAATAAAATCTTTTTAAAAATTTTTATTACATGTTGATCATATGTTGAAATGGTAATATTTTTGATATATTGAATTAAACTATTAAATCTAGTCTTGGGGCACTTGGGTGGTTTAGTCGGTTTAGTGTCCAACTCTTGATTTCAGCTCAGGTCATGATCTCAGGGTTGTGAGATGAAGCCTCAAGTCAGGTTCCCTGCTCAGCAGGGAGTATGCTTGAGATTCTCTCTCTCTCTCTCTCACTCTCTTTCCTTCTGCCACTCTCCCCCCATTCTCACTCCATCTCTAAAGTAAATAAATAAATCTTTTTTTAATTAGTCTTACCTTTCTTTTTACTTTTTTAAATGCAGGCACTAGAAAATTATACTGTAATATATTTCATTATATTTCTGTTGCACAGGACTATAGTAGAATTTGGGGAGAACTTTCCTTCTTTGTACTATTCAGTATAGCTTGATCTTTTAAAAATAAGTATGATAATTTATATAAAACAATAAACTCATTGTTCCTAAATGAAATAAATAAAGCAATGAACAAAGAGCTATGTTTTCTCTCATGGGATGTTGAGACAACTAGCTGGGAGGATCTGGCTGGGAACCAGTAATAATAGAATGGAAAACAGCTAAGCTGATTTGTTAGTGACCATGTTGTCCAGCCCACTTGTTTTACAGGTAGGGAAACTAAGACCCCACCATCACTTACCAGTCCAAGGTCACAGCAACTCAAGTCTGCAGTAGATGAGTCTGGGACTAGCAATCCAGATGCTGCAGAAACAGACTTAGGGCACTTGCCCAACAGCCTCCAAGAAGCCCTCCAAGGCAAGTGGCACTGCCTCCAGGTGGACATCCAATTCCTCTGTGACCACACTCCTTGCGCAAGGGGCTTCCTCTTCCAAGTAATGAAAAGCCAGATGCTTCCCTCAACTCAGAGGAATAGGGCTCTTCAGCTTCAGCTGCAGGTAACTTTAGTCCCCCAGCTCCAGCCTAGAACATTCAGCTATTGGCACCATGAAGTTCAGCCTGTTCCTCGCCCTCTGCTTCCTCCTCGGCCTGGTGGGCATCACCAGCCTAGAAAAGGCCTCAGGTGAGCTGAGAGGTTAAAAAAAGAGGATCCCTGAGACCCACAGCCTGTGTTTGGGGAAAGGGTAGGCATAGGGTGGGGGGGGGGCTGGCTCCAGGGCCATCTGGTCACTTCCATCTCAGGAGGAAACCAGGGCCTAGGTACAGGAAGGGGACTCATCTATCTGGGGCCAGACCTCACAGCTGTCTATTTGATTGAATTCAAGCCTCACCGAATTTAATTTTTATTACAAAGCAATATATGTTTTGGTCTTAAAAGGGCAAACAATATGTGAATATACGAAGTTAAAAAGTGGTCCCCTATTTTACGGAGCCCTAATAATCCTTTCCAGAATCCTACTTCCTGGATTTTTATGAGAGCAAATGAATTTTCATACTGCTTTAAAAAGGAGATCAGACTCTGAAATTTGGACTGTACTCTGGAGTCATCTGGGGGCTACCTGGGTGCCACGCTCCCAGATTCTGATTTAATTAGCCTTGAGTAAAGCCTGGGTGTTGGATTTCTTTCAAGTTCCCCAAGAGGATTTTAATGTTCCACTAAGATTGAGAATTGCTACCCTAATGCAAGATCCTGAATTTCATTCCTAGAATGGTTTCTTTCCAATTCTAGTTTAGGTTTTTCTTAGGATATGCAACATATCACATCAATTGAGGATTCACAAAGTAGTACTATGGAGCAGAGTTGACCCATGAACTCATTGTCTGAGGGATGCTATCCTTGTTGGGGAATGTACATATCAAAGCAGGGTATACTGCATCCTATGAAAAGATACACTGGGATCCATGGTCAATTAGTGGGTAAGGGTGTGTGTGTTTGTGTGTGTGTGTTCACACACGTTGGATAAATCACTTGATGTGATAACCAAAGCCAGATGTGAAAGGAGTAAAAATAACAGGTGATTCAGTAAAATATGTCCATTTCTTTATTTTTTCATTACTTATGGATACTGAAGATTAGTGCAAATGCCTTTTTCCTAGTTACAAAAAAATACTTGTCCATTGCCATTTAAATTACACCAATTAGAATACAAAAATAATTAGAATAATTAGAATAAAAAAATCACTTAAAATCCCACCACCCTGGAAAATTACTACATGTAATAGTGGTGAACAACCTTCTAGTCATCACTGCATGGGTTTATAGGTATATTTTACATCAACAGGACCATTCTAAGATATTGTCTTTTGAAATTTGATTTTGTTCCACAAAATTATGGACCTCTCTCCATATTGAGGCATATAGATCAGCATTATGCTTATCAGTGACTGCATGTAACCTGTCAAATCCTTGTTGGTGAACATTGATATTTTTTCCAAATTATGTTTCTTTGCAATTTTAAACAAGGCTACCCCAAATATCTTGAGTCAAGTTATGAGAAGTTGTAGCATGCAGAGCCTGGGATTTGAAATTGAAACCAGGTAAAACTCCAGGCCTCAATTGATAGGTTTTATGATTTTTGGAAGATGACCAAACCTCTCTGAACCTGTCTGTTCATTTGTGGAGGAAGGACAGTAATATCTGCCCCATTAGGTCATTGAAATCATGCAAAATGTGGCAAGCACCTATCAGGGTGTTGGTGTAGAAGACATTCTTCTAAAAAAAACAAAAAACACATCAATTCTTTAAAAGGACGCGTAAGTGACAATCCCTGTCCTTCCTAACCCCTGCAGCCCATCTCAGGCAAGAGGCTTTCCAGGAGCTGTCCCAAACTCTGCCTGTCCTGTGCCAGCTGCCCCCAGGGAAGGGCCCCTGCAGAGGCCGCTTCTACCGGTACTTCTACAACTCTACATCCAGTGAGTGTGAGCACTTCATCTATGGTGGTTGTCAGGGCAATGCCAACAATTTTCAGACCACAGAGATCTGTTTGAGGATCTGCAAGCCCCCTGGTGAGTCCTCTTTTAGAAACAGAAGAAGTGATGTTCATGATTGGGTGGTGGTGGTCATGGGAAGGGAGACAGCGTGGTGGAGGATGGTGGTGGTGACGCCGCGATGATGTTACTATGGGAGGTGAGGTGATGGTGATGGAAACAATCAGGATGTGTCACGAAGAGGCGCCGGTGCTGGTGGTAATGGGGTGCTGGGGCGGAGGTAGCAAGGCTGTGGTTGATGGGGTTTGGATAGTGAAGATGAAAGCAGTATTGGTGAGTTGTGAGAGCTTCTCATGCAAGTAGTGGTGCTGGCCAACGGGAAGATAGCAATGTGACCTTCACAGGGGATGAAGGTGTTGGTGGCAGTGATCAGGGTGGGAGGTGAGAAAGCTGAGGAGGCCCCCGGGATGCTGGCTGCTGAAGGGGGTGGGTAAGGAGTCCAGCTGATGGCTCCAGCCCTAGGCCACCAATGTGCCAACCAAGAAGGAAACTGACTGTCATCTCCATTACAGAGACAAGGTAAAGAACAGCTGAAGACCATGCTTGCACATTCCTAGCCTGGACTGGAAGCTGGCTGGGCCTCCCTTCCTGCACTTAGGCCCCCATCCTGTCACCCTCCAGGTCTAGGTCAATAAAACATTCAAAGTCGGTGTGGCCTGTAGCCTTCTTACGAGGACCCTGGGGCTGTCCTCATGAATTGCTCACAGCCACTTCAGCTCACAAGGGTGATCAAACCTGCCTCACTTCATCCCTACCCCTCAGGCCCTCATTGTCCTGTGCCTTCAGGAGGATGAGGATGGGGGTCCCTGGGTGGCTCAGGTAGTTAAGTGTCTGTTGGTTTAGGCTTAGGTCATGATCTCAGGGTCCTGGGATCAAGCCCCTCATTGGGCTCTGGGCTCAGCGTGGAGTCTGCTGAGATTAACTCCCTCCCTCTCTCCCTCTGCTCCTCCCCTGCTCATGGGCATTCTCTCTCTCTCTCTCTCTCTCTCTCTCTATCACACTAAAACAAATAAATAAAATCTTAAAAAAGAAGAAGAAGAAGAATGAGGACAAAGGACACAAGTTTCCTATAACCAGAAGGGGTTCCTCATGGAAGCCAGACTGAATGCAAATTTGGGGACCTTGCACATCTGTCCCCAGATACTGGCCACCTGCTCTTTGCTGCCTGGGGCTCTACTAGCTCTACTTCTGCTCTTCCTGTCCAGCAGAAGCCAAGACCTAGAGTGTGGAAAGAGCTAGAAATTCAGGGAATCTTGGTCAGCCAGGTGGGAATCTCCCTCCATGCCCAGAGGTCTTGGAAAAATAAAGATTTTACATATTCTTTGAAATATATACAGCTATGTGGTAAATACATACAGCATAAAATGCACCATTTTACCCATTTCTAAGTGTAGTGTAGTGACCATAAGTATACTCACATTGTGGTGTAAGCATCATGACCATTCATCTCCAGAACACTTTCATCTTCCTAAACTGAAACTTTGTGTCCATTAGAACCAACTCCCCATTCCCCTTTCCCTGGTCACGGCAGTTCTATCTTCTGCATCTAAGCATTAACTGCTTTAGGTACCTTATATGAGAGGAATTCTACAGTATTTGTCCTTTTGTGTCTGGCTTATTTCATTTAGCATATTTCCAAGGTTCATCCCTGTTGCAGTCTGTCAGGATTTCTTTCTTTTCAAGACTAAATAAAATTCCATTGTTGTTACATAGTTTTTGGAATGCTGGATGGCATCTGGAAGTACCGCTGCCACTTCCACCATGATCCTCTCCTGCTATCCTATGCACAGTCCAGGTACTTGCCCTTCCTTGAGAAACTGCTACCCAGGACCAATCAGCAATACTAGAATCCAGAACCTGGGACTCCCAGACTAGACCTTTGTCCTTGGTGGTGTCATTTGTGTTCTTGGTATGCCCTACCCAAATTTTATATATATACATAAATATATATTAATTATATAATATATAATATATATTCAAAATTTATACATTAAATATATAACATATACTTATATATTTTATATATAAATTTTATATATCTATTTTATATGTATATATAAATGTTTTTATATATCTATTTTATATGTATATATAAATATATTATATTTATATATAAATATATATAAATTATAGTAATATAATATATATATTCAAATGAAAGGACATGTTTTCCCCTTAATTTCTCCATTCTCTTTCATGTACCTAACTATCTGAGAGATTGAACTCTGGAAGATTAATTGAGGATAGCCTTTAATTAGTATTTGAAATAGTGTCTATGCTCTGAAACTTATACATTTAAAAATATGATTATTAAAGATAATTTAAAGTAAAAATATAAATACAACTAAAAAATTTAATCAGTTGTTCAGATCAAGTCATGAGATGGAACAGTAACTGAGCAAGTTATAATTAACCATCCTTTTCTCTCCCAAAAAAATGAATGAACCCTTCCCTGGGTTTCCTGGATCACAGCACTTATTCCAAAGTGTTTTGAGTGTGTTTACTTATCTTTGCCTCTAGGGTGTGAGCAGGACAGGGACCGTGTGGAATCTATCTTTTGTAAAGGACTTAACATATACAAAGCAATTACCAGCAAGCACTAAATGAATCAATAACTTGCAACTTAATCCTTGAATGTATGGGTGAGTGGAATCTACCCCAATAAACCCAATCCAATAGTCAGTCCTGGGGCTCTACTTGCAGAATTTATCCCAAAGTCAATCAACTTCACCACCTCTGCTGCGATGACCCCGGTCTGCTCTTCCTGATACTCTATCACCCCCTCGCTGGCCTCCCAGTGTCCATTAAGTCCTACAGTCTGTTCTCTACACAGCAGCCAGAGTGATCTTTTAAACATCAAATCCTTTGCTAAAATGTGCTAGTTTTTCTATTGGATGGTAGGTTTACAGGTCCTTATGCACGGAAATATATGCATATGTATGTAAGTAATACACAAAAAGGGCTACACATGGACCAATCATGAGACTATTATGAAGACTTTAACCTAATTCTGTGCATCAGAAGTCCAAAAAAGTACATAAGCAAATAAATCAGTGCAAATCCGATCCCATGACTCCTCAGCTTCCCATCACATGTAGAATAAAGCTGGGAGTCGCTGCCTACAGGACCCTCTTCCTCCTGGCCCCTATGAATCTGTCCAAACTCCCTCCTGCAACCTCCCATCCCCAGCTCTAGCTATTAGGACTTTCTTGTTTTGCAAACACACTAAGCAAGCTCCTGCTACAGGATGTTTGCAATTTGTTCTTTCTTCAGATTTCATGTGATTTTTTCCTTTACTTTGTTTGGGTCCCTGATGATTCATCACCTTCTTAGAGGTCTAGACCATCCCTTTCATGTTCCTGCTGGTTTCCTTTTCTTCAAGGACATAGCACTGCCTGGGATTACACTATATATTTATTAATATAGCCAAGTTTTTTTTGTCTGTCTCCCTGGCTGAACCGTAAGCACCACAAAGCAGGGATTTCTTTTCTTGTTCACTAGTGCCTAGAACAGTACTGGGCACTGGACAGATACCCGACACATACTTGCTGAATGAGTAGACAGGTGGATAATAGAAGTGCCTGAAGGACAGTCAGAGGTTGGGTAAGTAAATGAATGAATGAGCATACAGGAAGTGGGAGTGGTCAGAACAGGCTTCATGGAAGGAGCTCTCGGTCAGGGACAGAGTCAGGGGGGCATAAAAGGGAAGAGCAGGAGCTGAGGCAGGGAAGCCGGAAAATGCAAGGCAGGCCATAAAGCTTCCCAGGGCAGCTGTTGCCAAGCCTGCCAGACCTCCAAGCCAGCTCTGTCTCCCAGCCTTCAGAGAGGATGGGCCCTGCCATGTCCCAGAAATATCCTAATAGGCATGCAGTGACTAATGGTGAAGGACAGTAATAGTTGGTCACAAGGAACTGTCCCTGGTGTTGAAGGAAGATCCAAAAGGAGACTAGTTCTTCTGGGGCAACTCTGCTTCTGCAAATCGCCTTCATCTACTTACTCTCTCACTGAGCTGTTCCCAGAGGAGGCCTCAGAGGGCAGAAGTTCCCCTCTTCCCACAATGCCATCCCTAGTGCAGCTCCACCAGACAGCCCCAGCCCTGTGAGGGGAAAACATGCCTCACAATGCCCTGGGGGCCTGACTGACCTGGCCTTCAGCACCACTGGTCCTCCCCCCAACACACCACTGCCTCACAGCAACCCTCCTGGAAAAGGCCATGGCCAGGCTTAGAGTTGAGAAACCCTGAATGAGCAGAACTAGAAATGCCCAGGCCCTGAATGCAGAGACAAGGGAAGACTGTCCTGGTGCTGGTTCATAACCCAGATGTTTGGGTGACCTGGCTTGCTTAGCAGTAAAATTACTGCATGATATTTGTACATTCATTCATTCATTCATTCAGCAATTACTGGAATGCAAACCATGCCAGGCTCTGTTTCAGACACCCCAGCTACAAAAGACAAAAATCCTTGTCCTTATGGAGCCTAATAATTAATAAACAAGTAAGGCACGTTGCACATTGATGGTGATGAAAGCCACAGAGGAAAACATGACAGCAAAGGAGGGAGCTCATAGCTGGGGCAGTGATTTAAATAGGTGTGGCCAGGAAGACCTCATCTATAGATAGCACAATGGTGGGGGTGGTGAAAAAGGAGCTGGCTTTTCGATTTACTTTGGAGGTAGGGCAGAGTTGTTTATAGGGCACGCATGATACGTGAGGGAAGCATCGAGGACGGCTCCAAGTCTTTTGGCCTGGGCATCCAGGAAGATGAGCCGACCACAGATGCACATGTTGGGGGTAGTGGAGGAGTGTATTCGGAAGCTTGGTTTTGGAGATATTAAATCTGAGATGCCTTTAGACACCCAAGTGCAGATTGCAGGTAGGCAGTTGGGTAAATGAATCTGGAATTCAGGGAGGAGCACAAGAGACATGCTGGTGTCTGTGCACAGGTTACATATGACACAGTAGCAGAGGCTGTTCCTGGTGCTCACCTGGCTGGGGGTATAAAGCACAGCTAGGCCACAACCCCATGCTCTTCTGACATGGCAGGGATCCCATTCCATGCAGCTGCCAGGACCACTAGCTTCGGATATCCACCCACGCGCATTCTCATCTCATTTACACCCTGCTTATTTATTGCTTGAAGAAAAACTCAAAGTGAAAGCAGCCTGGCCAAGTTGCTTTTGCCTTGGTCTAGATTAGCCCATCACCTCCTTCCTACACACACATCACTTGTACATTCTGGGAGCTCTTGGAAAACCCTCAGAGGCGACCCAACAAGCCCATCCATGTTGGCTTTACAGACATCACCAGTACTATCGTGCTTAAGACTGCACTCATACTTGTGGGGCTTCTAGGTTCCCCTCGCCCTTCCCATCCCTACCCATGAGCCCCAGATCCCAGGCCAGAATAGCCTATACCCATTCATACTGACTGAGCACTTTCATGTCCTGAACTGGATCAGGTCCAGATGGAAGATGGCCCCTGTGCCTCCAGGGAGCTTAGTTTGTTGGAAGTTAAAGAACAAGTACAGCTAGGGTGAAAGGAACCTGTAAAGGTAAGTCCAGGGAGCTCTACAAACAGAGGGAAGGGTCACCTACAGCAGCCTGATATATCAGGGAAGACTTCCTGGAGGAAGCAACTCTGTGTGTGTGTGTGTGTGTGTGTTTTAAAGATTTTAATTATTTATTTCACAGAGGAGAGAGCATAAGCATGGAGAGTGACAGATAGAGGGAGAGGGAGAAGCAGTCTCCCCACTGACCAGGGAGCCTGATATAGGGCTTGATCCCAGGACCCTGGGATCACAACCAGAGCTGAAGGCAGACACCTAACTGGTTGAGGCACCCAGGTGTCCCGCAACTGTTTTTAAAAGTGAGCCAGGCAGGGGCACTGGGTGGCTCAGTCGGTTGGGCGGCCAACTCTTGGTTTTGGCTTGAGTAGTGATCTCAGGGTTGTGAGATCAAGGCCCATATTGGGCTCTGCACTCAGCCCAGAGTCTGTTTGGGTTTCTCTCTCCCTCTTCCCTGCTCTCACTTTCTCTCTCTCTCTCTCAAATAAATAAATAAATCTTTAAATAAATAAATGAATGAATGAATGAATGAATGAACGAACGAACGAACCAGGGAGTAGAGGAGAGCGTGTGGCTGCGGGAAGAGGGCATTCTAAGCCAAACCACTATGATGGGAGAGCTAGTGAAGGGACAAACAGACTGCAAATACATATACAGTTAATCCCAGTGTGCCAGGGCAGAGACATATAAGATGGTGAGGGTGGGGCATCTGCCTAAGGACCTGGAACAGGAATCCAGGATTATATTACCAGAAGGGAAGGTAGGCAGGGGCAGGCCTTGATCCACTGGACCTGGCCTCAAAGCCTGTGGGAGGTCTAAGGACCACACAGAACACAAACTCATGAAGAACCTGATAGAAATCTCAAGGCGGGCTAAACTCAAGATGGTTTGAATTCATAGGGTCTGGACCCCAGGAATTCGTATTATTTTCACAAGCATCTCAGGTGGTTCCAATGTACCACACAGTTAGAAAATCAACACACAGAGCTCTTCTACCTCTCCAGCTCTACCCCCGGTGATAGAGGACAGGTTCTCGGGGCCCGAAAGGCAAAGAATGGTTCATGGTCATGGATACACTTATATAAACCCTCCCAGGGCATCCCTGGGTGGCTCAGCGGTTTGGCACCTGCCTTCAGACCAGGGCGTGATCCTGGAGTCCCAGGATCGAGTCCCACGTCAAGCTCCTTGCATGGAGCCTGCTTCTCCCTCTGGAGCCTGCTTCTCCCTCTGCCTGTGTCCCTGCCTCTCTCTGTCTCTCTCTCTCTCTCTGTCTCTCATGTATAAATGAATAAAATCTTAAAAAAAAAAAAAAAAAAAAACCCTCCCAGACAAACCCAGGGTGTTCTGGGAATCACAGATGAGGAAAGCAAGAGAGAAGGAAGTTTTAGCAGGAGGCAGAGGAGCTTTGTTTGT